ACCGCTGTAGGATGCCCAGTGCATGGGGCAGTAGCCACTGTGTATAAACCATTATAAATTAATTTCTATTAATTTCTCACCGCTGTAGGATGCCCAGTGCATGGGGCAGTAGCCACTGTAGTCCACGCCGGAGTCGAGCGGGTCCGTGGCCAGCGCCGCCTGCAGCAGCGCCCGCAGCGCCCCCAGGTGGCCGCAGGCGGAGGCGAAGTGGATCGGGGTCCGGCCCTGGAAGTCGCGGCACAGGACGAAGGCATCGTGGTCCAGCAGAGCGGCCAGGCAATCCTCACAGCCCGTCACGGCCTGCGGGCACGGAAACGCCGCTGCTGTCGCGATATCACAGCACCCCGGGGGGTCTGGGGCATCGGAACAGCCCCAAATCCTGCTCCTGTCGCGATATCACAGCACCCCGGGGGGGTCTGGGGCATGGAACAGCCCCAAATCCTGCTCCTGTCGCGATATCACTGCACCCCGGGGGGGTCTGGGGCATGGAACAGCCCCAAATCCTGCTCCTGTCGCGATATCACCGCACCCCGGGGGGTCTGGGGCATCGGAACAGCCCCAAATCCTGCTCCTGTCGCGATATCACTGCACCCCGGGGGGGTCTGGGGCATGGAACAGCCAAAACCCTGCTCCTGTCGCGATATCACTGCACCCCCGGGGGGTCTGGGCATCGGAACAGCCCCAAATCCTGCTGCTGTCGCGATATCACCGCACCCCGGGGGGGTCTGGGGCATCGGAATAATCAATACCCTGCTGCTGTCGCGATATCACAGCACCCCGGGGGGTCTAGGACATCGGAATAATCAATACCCGGCTGCTGTCGCGATATCACTGCACCCCGGGGGGTCTGGGCATCGGAACAGCCCCAAACGCCGCTGCTGTCGCGATATCACAGCACCCCGGGGGGTCTGGGGCATCGGAACAGCCAAAACCCTGCTGCTGTCGCGATATCACTGAACCCCGGGGGGGTTTGGGGCATTACAATAATCAATATCCTGCTGCTATCGCGATATCACAGCACCCCGGGGGGTCTGGGCATCGGAACAGCCCCAAATCCTGCTGCTGTCGCGATATCACTGCACCCCGGGGGGTCCGGGGCATTGCAATAATCAATATCCTGCTGCTGTCGCGATATCACCGCACCCCGGGGGGGTCTGGGGCATCGGAATAATCAATACCCTGCTGCTGTCGCGATATCACAGCACTGTGCTGATTTGGAGCATTACAATAATCAATACCCTGCTGCTATCGTGATATCACAGCACCCCGGGGGGGTTTCATTTCCTAATTTGAGATTTCTTGGCTCATTCACGTGCTGGGTTTATTTTTATTGATTAATTGCCAATAGGATTATTAATTAAAACNTCGGAACAGCCCCAAATCCTGCTCCTGTCGCGATATCACAGCACCCCGGGGGGGTCTGGGGCATGGAACAGCCCCAAATCCTGCTCCTGTCGCGATATCACTGCACCCCGGGGGGGTCTGGGGCATGGAACAGCCCCAAATCCTGCTCCTGTCGCGATATCACCGCACCCCGGGGGGTCTGGGGCATCGGAACAGCCCCAAATCCTGCTCCTGTCGCGATATCACTGCACCCCGGGGGGGTCTGGGGCATGGAACAGCCAAAACCCTGCTCCTGTCGCGATATCACTGCACCCCCGGGGGGTCTGGGCATCGGAACAGCCCCAAATCCTGCTGCTGTCGCGATATCACCGCACCCCGGGGGGGTCTGGGGCATCGGAATAATCAATACCCTGCTGCTGTCGCGATATCACAGCACCCCGGGGGGTCTAGGACATCGGAATAATCAATACCCGGCTGCTGTCGCGATATCACTGCACCCCGGGGGGTCTGGGCATCGGAACAGCCCCAAACGCCGCTGCTGTCGCGATATCACAGCACCCCGGGGGGTCTGGGGCATCGGAACAGCCAAAACCCTGCTGCTGTCGCGATATCACTGAACCCCGGGGGGGTTTGGGGCATTACAATAATCAATATCCTGCTGCTATCGCGATATCACAGCACCCCGGGGGGTCTGGGCATCGGAACAGCCCCAAATCCTGCTGCTGTCGCGATATCACTGCACCCCGGGGGGTCCGGGGCATTGCAATAATCAATATCCTGCTGCTGTCGCGATATCACCGCACCCCGGGGGGGTCTGGGGCATCGGAATAATCAATACCCTGCTGCTGTCGCGATATCACAGCACTGTGCTGATTTGGAGCATTACAATAATCAATACCCTGCTGCTATCGTGATATCACAGCACCCCGGGGGGGTTTCATTTCCTAATTTGAGATTTCTTGGCTCATTCACGTGCTGGGTTTATTTTTATTGATTAATTGCCAATAGGATTATTAATTAAAACGATTTCCTGGTTTCCTGCTCAGGGCTGGGAGCGAAGGCCACGAGGTTTGGAATTCCAAGGTCTCAGGAAGCTCAGAAATTCCAGGGTTTGGGATCCAACAGGGAAATTTGGGGTTTGGGTTTGGTTTTGGTTTTGTTTTTTTTTTCCTGTGGGGATTCTTGCAGAGCTGGAATTCGGCTGCTCAGGGGAGGTGGAACCCCAGGGACACGCTCAGAGAATTCCCAGAATCCCAGAATTCACAGAATCCAAGAATCCAGAGAATTCACAAAATCCCAGAATTTACAGAATCCCAGAATTCAGAGAATTCACAAAATCCCAGAACCGAAGAATTCCAGAATTCAGAGAATTCACAGCATTCCAGAATTCACAAAATCCCAGAATCAAAGAATTCCAGAATTCACAGACTCAGAATCAGAGTTCACCAGAATTCACAGAATTCAGACAATCCCAGAATTCAGAGAATTCACTGAATCCCAGAATCAAATAATTCCAGAATTCAGAGAATTCACAGAATTCCAGAATCCACAGAATCACAGAATTCAGAGAATTCCCAGAATCACAGATTTCATAGAATCCCAGAATCCCAGAATTCAGAGAATTCCCAGAATTCAGAATCCCAGAATTCCCAGAATCCCAGAATTCCCAAAATTCAGATTCTCAGAATTCACAGACTCAGAATCAAAGAGTTCACAGAATCCCAGAATCCACAGAATTCACACAATCCCAGAATTCAAATAATTCCAGAATTCCAGAATTCACAGAATCCAAGAATCCACAGAATTCACTGAATCCCAGAATCAAAGAATTCCAGAATTCAGAGAATTCACAGAATCAAAGAGCCACAGAATCCAAGAATTCACAAAATCCCAGAGTTCACAGAATTCAAAGAATCCCAGAATTCCCTGAATCACAGAATTCACAACATTCCAGAATTCACAGACTCTCAGAATCAAAGAATTCACAGAATCCCAGAATCAAAGAATTCCAGAATTCACAGAATCCCAGAATCTCAGAAATCAGAGAATTCACAGAATCCCAGAATCAAAGAATTCAGACAATCCCAGAATCCAGAGAATTCACAGATTTCCAGAATCTCAGAATTCAGAGAATTCACAGAATCAGAGTCACAGAATCCAAGAATCCACAAATCACAGAATCCCAGAATCAAAGAATTCCAGAATTCAGAGAATTCAAAGAATCCCAGAATTCCCAGAATTCCCAGAATTCCCAGAATTCCCAGAATTCCTCACCCTGGGCAGACCATTCCAATATTTTGTCATTTTTTCAGTAAATCTCACCCCAGACACACAACCCCAATATTCGATTATTGATTAATTTTCTAATTAATTTTTGTATCAATCCTCACCCCATACACAAAACCCAAATATTTGATTACTGATTAATTTTCTAATTAATTTTTGTATAACTCCTCACCCCCTACACACAACCCCAATATTTTATAATTAATTTTCTGTAAATCCTCACCCCATACACAAAACCCAATATTCGATTACTGATTAATTTTCTAATTAATTTCCCATTAACCCCCCCCCCCATCAGCCCCGTGCGGGCCGTGTGGGCCAGTTAATTAATGGTGTTAATTAATGGTGTTAATGAACTATTGTGCTCACCCCACGGTGCAGAGCCGTGCGGCCCCGAGCAGGGCAGTTAATGAATGCTGTTCATTAATGAATTAATTAATAATTAATAATTAATAATTTAGCTCACCCCGCGGTGCAGGGCCATGCGGCCCCGCGCTGGGCGGTTAATTAACGATGTTCATTAATGAATTAATAATTAATAATTAATAATTTAGCTCACCCCGCGGTGCAGGGCCGTGCGGCCCCGCGCAGGGCAGTTAATTAGCGGTGTTAATTAATGAATTAATTAATAATTTAGCTCACCCCGCGGTGCAGGGCCGTGCGGCCCCGCGCAGGGCAGTTAATGAACGATGTTCATTAATGAATTAATAATTAATAATTAATAATTGAGCTCACCCCGCGGTGCAGGGCCGTGCGGCCCCGCGCGTCGGCCGCGTCGGCCGCGGATCCCTTGTCCAGCAGCAGATGGACACAATCCACGTGGCCGTTCATGATGGCCAGCATCAGCGGGGTCCTGCGGGACAGCAATCCCAAAACACGGGGCTGGGAGGGGGAATTCCCGAAAAAATGGGGCTGGGATGGGGAAATTCCCGAAAAAATGGGGCTGGGATGGGGAAATTCCCGAAAAAATGGGGCTGGGAGAGGGAAAACCTAAAAAAACCGGGGTTGGGATGGGGAAATTCCCGAAAAAATGGGGCTGGGAGGGGGAAATTCCCAAAACACGGGGCTGGGAGGGGGAATTCCCAAAACACGGGGCTGGGAGAGGGAAATCCTTAAAAAAACGGGGCTGGGATGGGGAAATTCCTGAAAAAAAATGGGGCTGGGAGAGGGAAATTCCCGAAAAAAATAGGGGCTGGGAGAGGGAAATCCTAAAAAATAACTGGGGTGGGAAAGGGAATTCCCGAAAAAAAAAAAACGGGGCTGGGATGGGGAAATTCCCGAAAAAATGGGGCTGGGATGGGGAAATTCCTGAAAAAAATGGGGCTGGGAGAGGGAAATCCTAAACAAAACGGGGCTGGGATGGGGAAATTCCCGAAAAAAAACGGGGCTGGGATGGGGAATTCCTGAAAAAAAAGGGGGGTGGGAGAGGGAATTCCCGAAAAAAAATGGGGTTGGGATGGGGAATTCCCCAGAAATGGCCAATGTGGGATCAGGAATTCCCAAAAAACAGGGGATATGGGATGTCCCCTCCCCTCCCCAGGTGTCCCCTTCCCCAGATGTCCCCTCCTCCTCCAGGTGTCGCCCCAGGTGTTCCCCAGGTGTCCCCAGGTATCCCCAGGTGTCCCCAGGTGTCCCAGGTGTCCCTTCAGGTGTTCCCCAGGTATCCCCAGGTATCCCCCAAGTGTCCCAGGTGTCCCCAGGTGTCCCC